TTTAAAAGTTTCCTGGTGCAATTTTGACCAGCCTTAAACTTAATGGAATGAAAGCAATGTATGGGCTAGCTATTCCACTGATCATGGTGCATCTTAATGGACACTTTCATGGTCTTATTGGTATGATCTATGAGGTTCTGGATAGAGAGATGAGAAGAACACTTGGTACTGCCTTGAAACAACTGGAACAAGGTGGATTCAAAAAGAAAAGATTTGGTACTTATAAACCAACTAGAATTAGGATTTGGTTTTCACGAACCGATATGGTTTAGGTTTAGGGATTTCTAGCGTAAAAACTTTGTTTTGGTCTTTCTTATTTATGTAGCCATGAGCCTCCATGTATTGATTCAACCATTATTCAATAAAGTTAAGCTTTGGCTCAAACAAATAGTCTCTGAGGAGACTTCTCTATCTTGTTCATCTGTGAACAACTTTTATCACGATAAGAAGAGTGATCTTCTGTGATTCATCCAGACACCAAGCGGGGTGAACCTTTGTCTTAGGAGAAGCAAAACATCTTTAGCGCATCTCATAGTTCTAAGGAGAAGACCATCTCCATCACCTTTCATCCACCAACGCCCCCTTCAAGTGATCCAGGGAGAGACAACCATTCCACGGCCGTACCATTTCCATTGTTCCTTTCTCCAATCTTCCTTTTTCCAACGAAAAGCCAAATTCTGTTTTACAAGATTTTTTCACCAATGCAAATAGTCTCAACTAAACTTCCCTCCAATGAGTTTTTTTCTTTGTTAACTTCTTCTTGAAGATACTCATCAATGGTTTCATTATGTCGCAGAGTCAATGTTAATTCCATCCGTTGACTCATACATACAATGTGATAGTGGCTTGTTTCATGTTGAACAAGTCTGATCCTGATTCTATTCCAATCCTTAAACCCTATGCTTGACGGCTGACTTGTATCTTGTTCTCACCAAACAGCTTACAACAAAAGCAATACACTTTATCTGATACTTTTGAATAAACCAACCAACTTATGCCTTGTTTATCTCCATTTTTCATCTCTCTTTTGTAATATCTATGAGAAAAATGTCTGCTACGAGCATTCTTCAGAAAACCATAATCTTCATGTAGTCTTGCCATTAGACCTTTTTCAGCCATAAAATCTTCTAAAATCTAATCAATGTTTCGCTAATTTGTAGGATCAGTAACATTTAAAATCTCATTTTCCTCACTGATGTTAAAACCATCCACATCATCACACTCCTGTCCAGCTTCCTATTTGTCATCCAGATTCATATTTTCCTTGGCTTTATCCTTCTCTAAACCAGAACTCTCCTCATCATCGAATCTATCACAATCATCAATCTCTGGAGTATTGGTCTTTCAACATATTTGAGCATAGAACCTGCAATAGATCTTACAAACTCTTCATCTTTTTTCTTCTTCTTTCGTTTTTTAGATCATGTTTTACACTTTGTTTTCCTTGTCGAAATTCCCAAAATTATTATGTTAAAAGTTAAAAGTTTTTGTTTAACAACATATAGATTTAAGTTACTAACATAACTTATCAATAAATTATTTTGCTTAAAAATACATATGCATCATAATAAGAAAAATAGCACTGGAATGAAACACAAACAAAGAAAATGGAGAGTAGAAGAAGAACGATAAATCCAAGTCTGGACAAATTTTGAGAGAAGAGAAAGTACGAAAAAGAAGAAAAAGCATTGCCGTAAAAGATTTATATTTTATTTTATTAATTAATTGGGGATCCCAAATTATTTGTAAAATATCTTCTATAGATTCTTCCACTTCTTCTTTTGGCAACTATTTTTCTTATTTATGAGAAATGTATAAGAAAATTAAATAGAACTTCAAAATTTTTATATAAATTAAGGGTCTTATTGAAATGCGGACCCTAAGCCCATGTCTGATTCTACTTGGTTCAAGGATGCCTCTGCTCACTAGTAAAACAAGGATGAAGTAATTTCCTAATATGGGTCTGAAATGTGTATATCAATCATAATTTCTCTATAATTTATAACCAATATTTATTCAAAAAATTGTATTGTCCTAATATTTTTATCTAATTATATGAAATTATCTGAATTTACTTTTATTCAAACCTAGCTATTATATTTAAAATTTTCGAATTACCTGTTATTTATGTTTGAATTATCCAAAATCTAAACCAAAACAAATTTGTTTTCCCATATATTAACAAAATTTTAAAGAAGCCCATTCATTATTTTCAAATTAAACTAAGACTGAACATAAACGCGAATTCAACTCACATGATTAAAGATGGTTTTGATGAATCAAAACACTGAAAGAAAGTCTTAACGAATTGCCAAACCCTAAGCTTTAGAGACTTTCGGGGGAAATCATCTGCACTTAGCCTACTCCTCGGTACCTTCAGTTTTGTCCAGGCATTGGTAAATGCTTGTTAGGAATTATATGTTTTTATTTGTTGGTTGCTTGTAGTTTTAAGTGTTTGTTCTTTAGAACACACTTAGTTCTTAGAATGATGTTATAGGTTTCTTTTATCTTTTTTAGGTGGCATGTAGCAATGGATCAGCTTTAAAGCATACGCGATTGCAAATCCTTGTGATCAAACCATCATTTACAATTTAGGAAAAATAAAAAATTCTGAAACTTTGCAACTCATTTGCTACTTCTTTTTTTTTACGCTGGATTGTATTATTAAACTATTCAGACAAAGAGTTCTTAACAATGAAAACTAGCAAAACAAACATAGAAAACATATACACCGGTAGGGATCCAAAGTAAACTAACACATATTTGCGTATGGATAACTAAAGATTTTCATGTAAAAGCTTCAAATTTGCTTCTAGAATAGTTGAATCCCAAAAGAGATAATCTTCATCTTAATCCAGAAACATCACGCTTCAGACTTAGTTGAGAACGATTGCTACTCTCTTTTTATTACTCCAGTAGGAGCCAATGAGAGAAGACAACTCTTTATATTGCTCTGATAATAACAGAGTGAATGAGATTACTGTTCCATAGATTTTCTGCTGACTTTCGAAGTAACCATAGTTTGCAGCAAGAAATCCATCACCATCAAGTGAAAAACCATCAACGATTGAAGCCAGTAAGACCCATCGCCACCATCCGCAGTAGATTTGTCAATTATCTTTTCTAAACGATTCAATTGAACCAAAGTTTTTGTTTTTCCAAATCCATTAAAAGAATCATACAAAAGAACAATCCAAAACTTAGCCAGATTCAAAATAAATTGAAAAATAAACAAATCAAATAACCAGAAAGAAAGCAAATAAAAGAGATAAAAGTAAAACGAATTAAAAAGGCCGATGTAGGAGCTATAGAAGCCTCCAGCCATCGGCTTGAAACTAAAAAAAAAAAAACTACGGAAAATAAATTTTTTTTTATTTCCCAAGTATATGAAATTAACACTTTTAATACCCAACTATGTCTCTTGCAGATTTAGTCATCAAGCCTTTGTTAACTATGCAAAATCAGAATTAATAAAAAGTTAATCGTTAGTTATTCAACGGAGACGTTAAATAAAATAGAAAGAGGACGTTAAATAAAATAGAAAGATGATGAGTTATGCCTTTCAAACCCAGAAATCCCTAAATTTGATTTTCATGTTAATTCGACAAAAAAAAAAACTATTTTCAGCAAGTATAGGTCGGTTCCAACAGTGCAGAACGTTTCCGGTTAAAACTGACAAAACTCAGCAGTGTTTCGGTCTGTAGTAAGCTCTTCTATTTTGCTAGTTTTTCAAGTTGAAGGAAGAATGTCTACATACAATTCAACATATGAGATTTCAGTGGGAGATGTTCTTTTTGTACCTGCAGATACTGAGATTCACTTAAAAGTCTTCATTTGACTTGAATTTGTACAAAGCACATGAGTAAACAACAAGTTTGTGTATGCTCTATAGTTGAGCTACACAAGATTTTTCTCAGTTATTGTATGATTAATTAAAACGGTGGCAATGCACTTTTAAAACAAGATATTACATTTCAATGCAACTTTTTGAGATAAATGTTTCTCAAACTGTAAATGCTTGAACAACACAAGTAAGTCCTGTTTAAACAGAAACAATGAGGAGACCGAGAAGTAACAATTAAAGAATAAAATCATTTGCAATGAGTTTGTACCCCAAACAAAATTAAAAACAAAAAGGAATTAAACATTCATATCTACAAGCTTATGTTATGTGAGGTACTCAAAAACATTATCTCTCTCTGTAATTTTCTTGCGGACACGCCCATTATTTTAAGTGTGTACTCAGTGTTTACTCCTCTCCTTAGGTTCCATAATTGCCTGCATGAAATTAAAACATTATAAATTAGAGATTAACAAAAAAAAAGACCAAGTAGAATGTATTAGCTTTTATCTTCATGATATTGATGTCATTAACATGGTATCTGGTTCACTTTCCAACAATCTCAGTAGGATAAGAATGAATTAACTTTATTTTGATCAAAAAATTATTTAACTTGCTTTAACTTTTTACTTTTCACTTTCTACAGTTTGGAACTTCGGGTTCTACATAGACATTGGCAACCTTCGATTGAAATCTTCCTCTGTCTTCCTTCATGATTACTAGAGAAGGTTTTCACCAACTTCTAGCCTGAACTCACTTTAATTGATCTTTTCTCACCAGATATCATCTTTTCTCGACGAAATCACAAGAATAATCGAAGGAATTTATGGGTTTTGAAAAGCAAAACTTAATTTTTTTTCTTTTTAATCTATTTAAGTCTCCGTTGCATACTTAATGATTGACTTTTTATTAAGTCTGATTTTGCATAGTCAACAAATTCTTGAATCTGCATAGGTATTAAAAGTGTTAATTTCAAATACTTAGAGAATAAAAAAAAAACTATTTCCCTAAAGGCTATACATATATTTTATTGATTAGTTAAATGGGTAAAAACTGGGCTTTATATGTTTTTAAGACAAGGCCTTTCCCAGTTTTTGTTGGCGGATACTGAAAATAAATAAAATACACACGCGCGATTAATGAGCGTGAACATCAGAGTCGGAGAACACTTGAGGAGTTACAGCATTTTTAAGAGTTCCCTTCCCTTCCCTATCGAGACTCCCTCTCCTCTGCGACTTATTTCACCACCAAATCGCCGCCATGTTCAGACAAGCTTCTCGCCTCCTCTCCCGATCTGTCTCCGCCGCATCCTCCAAATCGGCGACGACTCGTGCCTTTTCAACGGAAGTCCCGTCCACTATCGATTCGACTTTCGTGGAGTCATGGAAGAAAGTCGCACCGAACATGGACCCGCCGCAGACTCCTTCTGCTTACATGAAACCTCGTCCGTCCACCGCGTCTTCGATTCCGACGAAGCTCACCGTCAATTTCGTCCTCCCTTACGCATCTGAGCTTTCCGGGAAGGAGGTTCGCATTTTGGTTCCTAGGATCGGTTTGATCTATGATTGTGTTTGACTTCTTGTTTGGTTTCATTATAAGGTATGAGAACGTGGTTAATTAGGTCTAAAGACTTTTGATTTCTGGTTAGATCTGACGGCGCTAAATTTTAGGGATTTGATGGCAAAAGCTGAAACCATGCACCAAGTGCTGATTTTTGCGTTAGTAATGTAAGATTTGGAAAGAACAAGAACAAAAAAGCTTCACTTGTCTGTCATTAAGAATCTCTCTAAGTAGTCAGATTTACCATGTGTTGGTGACTGTTGTCTCTGCAAAATGTTGCTTGTTAGATTCTTTCTTCTTTTTTGGACTCATTGCTGAAAAAAATTTTAGACTAGTTTATTAATCCACTGCCTTTACATTCTTTGTTGATCAGTCCAATAAAATAGTATATGATAAAAGAATTTTGTTACTTCTCTTCATACCAAATGATCCTAGTCTTGTTCTGGTTTTTTAATACAATAGTAGTGGCAAATAATGTCTTGACTGTGACATCAACAAAATCTGAGTGCTGATTGTTAATATTTGAATTGGTTTGTGAATGTATATTTTTCTCTTCTATTGATATATGATGTGGTGGTATGCATGTAGACTGAATGTCGGTTTTACCTTCAATTTCATGAGCTCTCATCTCCATGGCAAGTAGTAATCTATTCGTATACTATATAGATTTTCATGGGCTTATTTATTTAACAAATGAATAGTCAGTGTGCAGTTGTTAGTGGCAGTGCCTTCTCTTCATGTAGAATATGAACTGAAAGATCTTATCGTCCCAGACTTACTTTCTGATGCTTCGGTTACTTCAAATATCATCATTTTTTTTATTATTTTGACACAACTAAACCTAGTTCTTGATTGGTTTATTTTCTTGTATATATATAACATAACTCAAAGCTTATTGCTTTCTTCTCTTTTGTCCACTTCAAGGTCGACATGGTCATCATTCCTGCGACAACAGGACAAATGGGTGTTTTGCCTGGACACGTGCCAACAATCGCTGAGCTGAAACCCGGTATCATGTCTGTTCACGAAGGTACTGACATAAAGAAATACTTCGTGAGCAGCGGATTCGCATTTCTCCACGCAAATTCGGTCGCTGATATAATCGCGGTTGAGGCCGTGCCGCTGGAGAACCTTGACGCAAGCCAAGTTCAAAAGGGTTTAGCTGAGTTCACACAGAAACTTGCTTCTGCGACAACAGATCTTGAGAAAGCAGAAGCACAGATTGGTGTCGAAGTTCACAGTGCAATGAACGCAGCTCTGTCAGGCTAAAAGAAAGATGGTTAGTGAAGACCCTTTTTTTGCTATTACAAAAGGATGGAATAAATTAGAAAATGATTTTTACTTGTTTTTATCGTGTTGGACTTTGTTTGAATAAATGATTTTGTTGAAGGCACAAACCAACAGAAAGTTTCTGTGTTCATATTTCTGTTACTGTACTTTTGTTGTGTTGAGATTGAGAATCTTAAGTTCCTGAATTGAGTGGTTTTCATTTCATAATACTTTTCCAGTTTCTTTTCATGAAACAGAGAGTACGGGTTCTCTCGCATGTGCATTTTCCTGCTACGTCATCGGTACGTAGGGTTAAAGTATTTTAGACACTTGAGAACTGAAGCAAAGCTAAATTTAGATATCAGTAAATGGATTAGAAGAAAAAAATGACCCCGGGAATCAAAACAGTGCGCTACCCCGGCTTCGTATCTGACTATCTGTTTAGAAGAGAAACTCTAAAGCCCCATCTCTCGAAGGGACTATATTAATTTTCCATAGTGCGCTACAGAAATATGATTTATTTTTAAGTATCGAACCACTAACAAGAAATAAATCAAACGGTAAGTGTCCTGGTTTTGTAAGAGACGAGTAAATTAAATTAGATGATAAATTTAAAGCCTATTACACACACAAACTTAATAGATGTGAGTGTGGGGAGAGAAACAGAGGAAAAATAAGAGCTGAAGACATTCTGATGACACCATAGCAAATGAGCCAGAGACGATCTGCGGGTCTCGGAGACATGAGTTTGTTTTTTGATTGTACAGCGCACAAGTTTTATTTCATCTTAACAGAACTTTGTAATTTCAGGATCTTGTTATTAATTTACTGAATAGGTTAAAGTTACTGAAGCAACATACAGTAAGACAGAGACGTGAATTCTTTCTGTTTTGTTTATAAACAAACGATGATGTATGGCGGGCGGCAGATAGTTTAACTCTCGTCCTTGTTATAGGTTCACAAAATGGAAAGTTGCCACTTTATCTGTCAGCAATGAAGCCGTAAGTTGATGTCCTTGGAATCGTTAATGTCTTTAAATCACGTCCTTCACTTTCTTTCCTTTGTGTCGGATAGGTTTTTGAGCCCACCACATCTTCCGAAAGGGAAAAACTACTATTTAACAAGATCTTTGAACTTCGGGCTAGGTCGTTCCTCTTCTTCTTCTCTCAATCAAACCTTTCTTTATAGAGATCAATGTCTTTAACTAATTGCCTCTAATTATTATTTTTCACTTATTTCTTTAGGATGAAAGAGTTCACAGAAGAAGATAAATCAAAACACACCTGCGTAAGTAAGCACTACTTTTTCCCTTTTAAGCATCACATCATTAAGTGATTCAAAGAAATTGCTAGTTATAGAAACTCAAAATTAAAAATATACATCCGAGTTAATCGTATATATGAACCCATACTCATCAGGTATGTATTGTGTTTGTCTACATCTGCAGCAGAAATTAAAATCAGTTACAGGTCAACTGTAACATGTGGCCAGAACACTGAGCTACTCAGAAGCTTTGGCAGAAGTGAAGTATATTTTCGTACCAGAGGAGGACATATTTGGTTCTGTTATGTGTTGCAGAAGCAGAAATCATCGGTCATTTGTTTCTCTCAGGAGAACATATAGAGAATAAACGGAGAAGAAAGCTCGTTGTCACTTGTCATACTGTATTTGGGTGAAACTTATATAGTAAATGAAACTACATGTAATAGGCTCTCATCCTCTCTATGTGTTCTGTGGATTGTATCCATCAGATTCTTTTAGTAATAATCTCTTATAGCATATGCTAGAGGTAAATTCATATTCTGCAATGATTTTTTTTTTCTTTTTCTTTGGGAATTCAATCCCAAAAAACTGGGGAAAAGGTTACAATTCAAGTACAAAATTTATGAAACTAGGGTACGTCCGTCCTACGGGCGGGATTTGATTTTTTTTATAAAATATGTAATCTTGTGTAAAGTTTCTTTTATGTTAAGTTGAATGTGAGTATAATAATGTTGTTTACGACAAATTTTAACTATATAACTAAGAATTATCGTATTATTATTATTTTTGCTGTTTTAATTCTAAATTATAAGGTTTAATAATGTTTTGGTTTTATAACACTATAAAATACATAAGAGGTATAACGCGTTAATCAAGATTTTGCACAAACCAGATATTGGCTCTCTTCCTTACCGGTACCTCCAAGACTTCAGTCCACGCTTCGCCAAGGATGTTATCTTTGTGTTTGTGTCCTTTTAATTTATACTATGTACAAAACAGATTTTTGTTGTTTGCTTTTTATTTTTGATGTTTTTTTTCCGGAGGTTGTATAAGTGTCAATCATTGAATCATTTGTACAAGTTAGTCTTACAATACGTTGTTTGAATGTTTCCATGATATGGTTTATTTTACGAGCAATCAATTTGAATCTGGGTGCTTTGAAAGGATGTTCAACTGGCATGACTTTTGTTCTTAGTCGTCTCGTAGTGGTAAGGGAAAACAATTTATTGTTGACTTTTAAACCTTGTGCCCTGATATGTTTTGAAGTTCTCCTCCATTAACTGTATGAATTTATATCTGTTATTTGTTTTAATGTTTTAGTAGTGGAATGTAATTGTTACTATATTGTTTAATGTTTTTGACTCTTGAGAGTAAGTTCGAGATTGTATGTTCATATTTCTTGAAACTTAATGGTATGTTTCATCTTTTGAAACTTAATGGCTTGAATAACAAGTAACTCACCCCACTGATGTCTCATGTCCATGGCCGGACGCTATATTTTATGTTGATTGGTTTGTCCAAATGGATGGTCAAATCCTGTTAGTGAGCTGTTAATCTAGGTGTAACATAGCAGTAATGTTGCCTTATCCTTTGCAGGATATTAGTTTGTTTAATAGTTTCTGAATGGTTCGTAATTGCTCGGTTATTTGTTGGCTCCTCTTTTGGTCTTGCCATTGCCATCTAAGCGACTTTCTCCCACTTGAGCTATCAGAGTCCGTGAGCATATTATTGAGGTCCTTTTTAGTTCATTTATGGCAAAGTGCATCCATCATTGGCAACGCACATGCGCAAGACTTATTGAGTCCTTTTTGGTTCTTCCGAGTTTAGTGATAAAGTTGAACTGCATGAGCAACACCTGGTGGATCAGTTATGATGTGTGGCTTAAGTATCTTCAGTCGATTATTATGTAGTTGGAGCCTAGTAATATATCTCCGTTCGTATCAGATTTGTCATATTCCTTAAAACATAACTAACTTTGTAGACTATGGTGGGGTACCTTCTGTGAGGGCGCCTCTGTGTTACTATCAATATCTAGTTATCTGAGGTAGTATTTTTATGGCGCTTGCGTATTTGGTTTTATATTCTGAATTTATATAATATATATAAAACATAATTATATATATATATATATATATATATATATATATATATATCCTTAAAAACTATCTCGGATATTTTCAAGTGAAATGACCATTAATTTATTATGTATTACATATATCGAATTCTTTATATGATGTAATGATTTTAACCATTTTAATAAAAATACGTTAAAACAAAAACTTTCTAATAACAACATGCTTCAATTATAGAAAAAAATAACCATGCTAAATATATAACAAAGTGATCATAAGAAAAATTGTATTCTTCAAATGCTCTAGTGATCATTGAAATGAAAGCACTAAATTTGCCTCCTCCTTCTTCATCCCCACCGCCATCTCCTTCCTCCTCTTCTTCTTCTTCCTGCGCTTGACCTCCTTCTTCTTTTCCTCCACCTCCGTGGTGGCCTTTATGCTTCTTATTCTTCTTCTTGAGGGTGGCTTCAAGACCAACCATCGCTGCAGCTATCTTCTCTCTCTTGGACCCAAATGCTCTATTCCGTTAGTTAGCGGAGGTGATGTGGAATTGAGTGGGTTTGTTATATGTCAAGTTGCGTGGACATAAACTGAAATGGATCACCAAATCTACTATTTTGGACATTGTTGATGAGTATGTGATTAAAATTTTTCTGAAAGCTAATAAAGAGTTGCACGTGGCGTTTTTGAAATTGACACAAACCGAAGTCTGACAGCATAATGTATGTGGTTGTTAATGAAATTCCATTGCAACAAACACAACAGAAAATCTATCCAACTCTAATGGCGATAAGTAAATGATGAAGACGAAGCCCTTACGGAGATAAAAGAGAAGTAATTGTTTATTTTGCTGATCTTGGGGCCAACTAATCTAAGCCCTTACGAATATAAAGCCTATCACCGTCCCCCTCCACCTCCTCTCAGCCATCGGAAGTAAACGAAACCAAATCATCTGACATCAACAAACAAACAATAACTATAAAACGAAATCAAGATCATCTAAACTCAAGGTTTCTAATTCAATAAACGATACCCAAATAATTATACATTAAAAAATCAATAAACGAATCCAAAATCGTTTAAACTCAAGCTTCGTAAAGCTGAGGATGATAATGACGTTCACATGATAAAATCTGACCTTTTCATATCTGAAGACCGATCACCATGTAGAGAGGAAAGATGCATTGAATGAGGAATCATGGTTGGAGTGGCTCGAAGAGTTAAAACGGTCGTTAATGGTGATGAATCAGTGCATCTAGAAGAACAGACGAACGGAGAGAACCGAGTTCGATCATGAAGAGTCGTCGCAGAAAATCCGATGAAGAGATTCGCCATGAAAAGCCGTCGCAGAAAACCCTCCTGATGCACCATTGTTGCTTAAGCCTTTCAGAGATGAGGATGGACTCTAGATGGTTCACACTTCACATTCAGTCTGAGTTCTTAACAACTAAACAACTTAAGCCCAAGACAACAAAAAAATATAAAGAGACCCAATTAAAATTGAAACACGAAACACAAGAGAAAGAGATATACACATGGCGGCTCCTCTTTTTAGTATTTTCTGTGTCTATTTGTCACACAGGAAGCCATTGCAGTAAGCTCGATGGCGGCTGTGATAGGGTTTCACGAAGAACCCTACTTTTCGCAGAGAAAAGAAACGCGAGACGATACCTAATAGTTTACAGTTCATTAAACAAAACAAATAGTGGGCCATTAACACATAAAATCCATATTATGTTCAGCTAAATAAACTTACCGTTTTATTCTCTATAACACATGTTAGAACGTGAGAAAGTGAATTAGTGACATGATTTCTCAAGAGAGATGAAAAACCTCTTTTATATAATAAGATTCATTATGGATTACAGATTCTAAACAAAATTA